CAGACTGTGTTCACATAGAGGACGAGCTGCACTTCCTCACAGAGTGCAGCAAATATAAAATATTAGAGACACCTATTTCACCCAATTAACTCAAGTTTTCCCTGAATTCCAGCAAGCGAGCAACATAGAGAAACTCATATCAAATCTATCCACCTGGCAGTGCAGCATGTGTTCTCCTGCCATCAAATGAGGGACAAAGGCTGAACCCTCTTTTCCATTTATCACTGCTCTCTGTATTCAATTACTTTGTCTTTTCCTTTTTTTTGTAAACATATGTATAATATGGACATGTATTGTGTTTCTTTTTTTCTACTTTTATTTATCTGTATGTTTGAAGAATATATTTATTGCTTTGGCAACATTGTGATCCATCTGTATTTATGTTCTACTGTTAGTGTTATCTGTATGCACCAAGGGTCTGAGAGTAACGCAGTTTCAATTCTCTGTGTGTATGTGCTGTACATGTGGAAGAATTGACAATAAAGCAGACTTGACTTGACTTGACTTGACTTGATATGTCACACAGTCAATGCCATTCACATTCCTGGTCTGCACAACCGGGCAGCCGACGAGCTGTCACGAGCTGCGCTCCCAGGGGCATGGAGACTCCATTGCTAAAGTATTCTAAATGAATTATTTCAACACAAATTACTCACAAAAGTAACCAAAAATGAGAGATGGGGAGCCCAGCAACAAAGGGGAAAAATAACTAAACTAACAGAGTCAAGCTGGGACTCTCCGCTCCAAGCTAAAATGACAAACTGTTGAAAAAATAAGAACGTGGCGATGTGGCCGTGAAGAAGGCTGTGGTTGGCAGAGAGACCTAGAGAGTCCGCCTCCTACTTTATAGCCTCGCTTCCCCAACTCAGCCAATAAGGAACCAGTGAGGACAAAACAAGACAATGTTAATACAAATAAGTATTTGAGGACTCTAGGCCGGGGCGTGAGTGAGACACGTGTAACACCGGAAATGTAAAGCACCGTTCCAGTCGAGCAAGACTTCCACATTCAGGAAAAAGGTGGATACCGGATTCAGTAAATAACAGTTCAATTCCATTCAATTCAAGTTTATTTGTATAGCGCTTTTCACGATGCAAATTGTTGCAAAGCAGGTTTACAGAAAATTAAAGTTTCTACATTATATTTAGTAATAGCTTATCAGGTTATCAATCTCAGGTTGATGTCCATATGGCAGAAATGTGCGGTAAAAGTCAAGCAGTTAGTTAATCTCATGTAATCAAACAGACGGTGAACACTATTAACAGCAGTGGTGTAATGTAACAAAGTAATAATACTTTGTTACAGTACTTAAGTATTTTTGGAAGTATCTTAGACTCCTAAAAACACCTTTGCTCATGTGCAAACAAGTGTGTGCACAACCGCGGACGATTCATTTTCCACTCAAGTCGAGTCTGGGGTGTGCGATATACAGTATATCTTCTGCGATAATATGGTAAGTGTTGTTGTAATGATGTGCGATCTGACATTATCAAGTAGGCTATATCACCAGATCACACACAGAGTGCACGCACATTGATTAATTAGTCTATTAAAACTCTAAATTCCAGGCATTCTAAATTATGGATGGCAAAAATGCTTCTGTATGCTTTTTATATTTATATAATTTAATATAGTTAACTTAATCTATATCACACAAAGAGTACCGTTTTT